TTGAAAGGGACGAAGAGAGAACGAAGTGTGAAATATGGGTAAATCAGGAATGTCTAGAACAGGTAAATGAAATTGTATACTTGGGGAGTGCTTTTAGCCGGGATGGAAGATGTGATTTAGATGTGGACAGGCGTGTCGCTGCCGGGAACAAAGTCAATGGTGCCCTGACTGCGTTAGTCAAAAGGCAAGGCGTAGCGAAGAGTGCACGCCTTGCAATACATAACGCAGTGTTGGTACCGACTTTGTTATATGGCAGCGAAACCTGGGTATGCCAGAAGAAGCATAAAAGTAAGTTGAATGCAGTGGAGATGCGATCTCTTCGTAAAATGTGCGGCGTTACCATGGCCGACCGAAAGCGAAACGAAGAGATTCGCAATATGGCAGGTTTGAAAGATGACCTTATCACAAAAATTGATAAGGGCGTGCTTCGGTGGTTTGGGCACGTTGAGCGAATGAGTGAAGACCGAATGGTGAAGAAAATATATAGCGCGAAAGTTAATATTAAAAGGTGTCGAGGTAGACCGAGACTAACTTTCGAAGACCATGTGAGCAAATTGCTCGAAGAGGGTAGGGTCAAAAGTACTCGGATACCTAGACGTGCATGCATGAAGAAGATAATGAATCTGAAAGAAGCGAAAGAGGTTTGTAAGGATCGTGACACTTGGCGATCTGTTCTCTCTGGCTACCCCGTCAGGGATTGTGCGTGAAGATAAGTAAGTAAGTATGTAAGTAAAAATTTATGCTTTTCGCAATTTTTCCTTTATCTGTGCTATAAAACGTTGCTTTGTACCAAATTTCAAGATTCTGAGTTCACGGAAGTAACCTGTAGGTTTTGATTCCCTTGCGAATGTCGAAAATTTACCGCATAAACGGCTGTATCTTTTGATTGCGTTGGCTTAGAAATTTGATTTTTTCACAGCTCTAAGGGACAGTAGACTTTAATATTTGATATGAATTTCAGCTTGATACCTCCATGCGTTCCTGAGAAAAAGGGTCTTGACAGACAGACAGACGGTGACAGACAGACAACAAAGTGATCCTATAAGGGTTCCGTTTATTCCTTTTGAGGTACAGAACCCTAAAAAGTAGTTGAGTCGAAAGTAATGGATGGCGACTTAAAAATGCATCCCGTATTTTATTCTCAGACGACATCCTGGCTCCTCGTAATGTCGAAACTCTTGAAAACCTTCGTCAGAAGCATCCTTCGGTCAATGCTTCTCAGAGTTTACCATTGCCTCCCAAGACTTCTATGTAACCCTTACAAATTTCTGAAAATGACACTTTAGAAGCAATTATGTCATTTTCGAATGGCTCTGCTGGCGGAATTGACGGAATTACGCCGCAACATCTTAAAGATCTTGTAAGCGCTTCTGCCGATGACGCCGGCGGAGTACTTCTTAATGACATTACAAAATTATGTAACTTTATGCTTTCTAGTAATGTTAATCCAAATTTCATTGCATTTTTATTTAGGGCAAGATTATGTGCCTTCAAAAAAAAAGGATAACGGTATCCGTCCTATTGCCGTTGGTTCCACATTTCGATGCTTAACTTCAACATTAGCTTGCAGACACATAATCTCTAACCTTAAGACAAAAGTTTCAGCCTACTCAACTAGGCTTTGGCCCTCGAGGTAGCTGTGAGGCGGCGGTACATTCAGTGCGTACATTTTTAACAAAATCTGATGTAGATGTTCTTGTGAAGGTTGACCAAAGGGTAACCACGCTGAAAGAAGTGGCTAACAATACCCCCGAATTTATCATTATGTTTCGCAATGTTACAGTCAAAATACTCGTACTAACTTGTTTTACGAAAACCATGAAATCGATTCTGCTATCGATGTTCAGCAGGGTGACCCACTAGGTCCAGCACTTTTCGGTTTGGGAATTCAACCCATTATTTCAAATTAGAAATCCAAGCCGAATGCCTGGTACCTGGACGACGGTGCACTGGGAGGTAGAGCAGATGACAGTCCCCAGTACTCATATTTTTCGAAATTTTAAAAATATTGGTATTGAAGTAAATAGCAATAAAATTGAAATATTTTTTTCCAATAATTTTTCTACTTCTCACAGAGACACTTTAATTCAATATTTCAATCATATTTCCCCAGGAATAAAAACTGTCAGTACGGAATGACTATACCTGCTAGGTGCTCCGTTGTTTTTAGATAGCATTAAACCTGTTTTAAAAACAAAGTTTGATCAGTTTTTAAACCACGTTGATAAATTGTGTAAATTAAACCTCCACATTGCTCTTACTATTTTAAAATACTGTCTCCTTGTACCAAGAGTACCAAGTACATACTTACTTCGCTCGAGTCCAGTCTGGAAATGTTTGGATATTTTAAAAGATATTGATAATATAATAATTCTAAAATAGCTATAGAAAAAATTCTAAATTTAACTTTAAATACAACACAAGCTAATTTAACTATAAAATTTGGTGGTATGGGAGTGAGAAATCTTTCTAGCGTTGAATTGTCTGCTTTCCTTGCTTCCGTGCATAGTGTCAGTGATTTATGTAATATAATTTTAAATAATAAAGTAGACCTGTGCTTTCCTACGGAGGTACGGCAGGCATGGCAAACGGTACAGAACGTGCAGAAGAATTTGTTTCATAATTTCCATAGTGACCAAGATAAGGCACGCCTTCTAGCTGTTTCAACTAAGGAATCTAGTCACTGGTTACACGCTGTACCATCAAGTAATCTCGGCACATTACTTGATGGGGAAAGCTTGCGTATTGCCGTAGGAATCCGACTAGGAGCGGCTACTTGTGAACCTCATCAGTGCCCCTGTGGTAGCAGCGTCGACAAGTTTGGACTCCACGGACTTTCATTTAAGAAAAGTGCTGGTAGGTTTTCACGGCTTTGAACGATGTCATCCGAAGGGCTCTTGTGGAATATTTAGAGACGATGGCAAGAGACTCGATGGTATGACATTGGTCCCTTGGGAGAGAGGTGAAGTCTTAGTGTGAGATGCTACTTGCGTAGATACTCTGGCGGCCTCTCATCTTAGGGGTACCTTGTTGAGAGCCGGGGCGGCATCAGAGGCAGCTGAACTGAGTACTATCGGTCCGTGGGGTCCGCGTGCAGTGAAGTTCCTAAAGGAACTCCATCTGTGGCTGGTCGGGCTGGTTCTTTTCTCGCTCAAAGGCTAAGTATAGCCATTCAGTGGGGAAACGCAGCCAGCGTTCTTGGCACGATACCGCGCGGAGTAGGACTGTATGATAATTAAGTTACTAGTTTTTTTTTATAGTTTTTAATATAGTTTATAATAAAATATTGTATTTTAATAAAGATATATATTAATTTAATTGTTATTTTATATTTATATTTTAATTTATATTATTTGATACTACAAACAGACTTCAATTTTATTTATTTGTATACATTATATTAACTAAAGTTAGCTAAGATTGATAACGTTAAATCACTCATAACTAACTTTAGTAAATATAATCCATGCCTGGTGAAGAATCAAATGATTTGGAAAGAAGGGCTTTAAATTTGATGCCCTCTTGTCCAGTTTTTTTTTGTTTCTTTATATTTCTGAGGAATAGAATGTAATATATTTTATACATTTCTGGTGGTAAGACAAATGTTTAAAAAATTCTTTGAAGTCTACCTACAGCTTGCACTTGTTATTATTTGTAGATTTCTTTGTAAGGAGCAGTATTAACTTAGGGACTGCGCATTAGCCTTAAGTTGTGGATTATGAGACACCCAACTTTAATCTCTTACGATACCCGGGAGGTATCACCGAAACTCTATTACGCAAATTCAAGCGGTGATTTACGAAGTGTTCGGCGAAGTAAAGGCTAAGTCTTAGGCCCGGATTCCACCAAAGCGAAGATGTGCGAAGATGTCCGAAGCGAAGAGGAGAAGAGATGTTTTTCAGCTAGGGTGTATACGCCGAAGCTGTGCGGAGATGCGTACTGGCAAGACTGGAGCGGAGATGTGTGCTGACTAAACCGGAATTGACCTGCGTGCGGCGAGCGTTGGATGTTAAGATGAACGCACAGCTTAGCACGATCTGACATGAAAGGCTCACATCTCAGCTTGTGAGGCACAGCTCACATCTCCGCTTCGATCGCGCTATTCAAATATGATCCATCTCTGCGCAGTGCTATCCAATGAAGTCGAGTGACGACGAGATAAGTGAATAAGAAAATTCTATTGGTTGTTGAAACATATCTTCTCTCCTCTCGTCTCGTCTCCGCTTTGGTTGAGTCCGGGTCGAAGTCTGTCTAGGAAATTAAAAAAATATTTCATTTGAACTGATATGAAGTCTGCAAACACAAAATTAAAATATTTTGAGCACATCACGAGAAGTCAATACGTGAGCGGAGGACTCTTCACCGCCCTAAAAACGTCTTAAAAATTAGAAGAGGCCTATACTCAGCCATAGCGTATGCAAATTGTTAATATCAATCTCTTTTATATTGTAAACTATAATTTCCATTTTTTCATTTTAAAATAGAACGAAACTTGCTTATAAACTTATAATAAACCAGCGACTTGCAGCGGCTACGACCGGATTATTTTATCAATTTTTAATATTTAAGTCTTTTCTGATAAAATATAGCTTCGATTACTCCTGGCATTGGTCTCCATCTGTTTGTGAAGTTTAGTTACAATCGCTGCAGCCATTCCGAATATTAGGCCGAACAGACAGACAGACGGACAGACAAAAATTTAAAAATAGTTATTCATGGCTTAATAGCATGCAAACAACCCCTTGAGACACTTCAATTTTATTAATATATTTGTATAGATAATGATTCGAAATCAAGACAAATGGAAACCAATATGAAATAATTTAAAAACAAACAAAAGCTTTGAATTATATATTATGTCTTCCACTACATTAACTTTCATCTTTCACACAATTGAGATTTAATAATACGTACGTATTAAAATTATATAATTGTTAGAGAAGTAATTCTTTAAGGTTCATAAATATTTTACATATTTTAATATATGTTTTAATATATATTTATTGCACTGGTACGAGTGCCATTATATTAAAACCAATATTGCCAGGTTCTCGGGCGATAAAACTACGACATATCTTCGCTGCGTCCTCGAGGAAACTATCAGCGTTTGTCGAACCGTGGTTTATAGGAAACGATTTTCTTCCATCCAATTCATACAAAGAACCATCTTTGTGTATAAATGTAACAAAGTGATTGCTTATATCATGAGAAGAAGTTGCATCTTCACGACTCTCATTCATTGCTATATCTTTATAAGCTTCCAACATAGCAACTGAATTTTCTAGAAGTGCACCTTTAGCAGCCGCATCCAAGCCTTTGGCATTTTTTAGGTAATTCTTCAACAAACCATCTTCTAGTTCAATGTGGTTGGTATTGTTTGCCACGCTATGCACTAAAGCTATAGGTCCACATACGTTACTGAGAACTTGTTTGAGATGAAAAACGTCTTTAGGAGCTTGATGACCTTTCTTTAGAAGATTTTTTTCTTGTTCGGATCTTAGATCTTCGTAAGTCTTTGATAATGGAAATAGAAGCAACAAAGCGAGCACAGGACGAGGGACCCAGTTCAAAGCATCTTCATCTAGACTGACGACATCTACCATATGCCATTTTTCAGAAACTCCTAACCGTTTCAAATACATATTCATGGTTTCAGGGTTCGACTCCATAGGTATCACACTTGTCATTTCAAACACCGTTGTAGGTACGTTCTTTTTAATATTTCAAATATTTTTTCTCTTTTTACAAAGTTTTACAGACTACCACAAAGCATGAAATATATTATTTTTAAACTCTTTGAATCACACCGTTTGGGTATAGTGCGTTAGTGACAATTTTAACAATTTTTGCTTATGACAGAAAACATTATGACATAAAACATCAAAGAGGTTGATAAAACCATAGACACAAAACAATATGTAAAATAAAAGAGGATATACTTAGTTTGAAGGTTAAATATTTTTCCTCTCCAAAGATTCTTTATCAACTTATAAAGCCTGGAATCTGGACTAAAGAACATAACCACAGAACTAGACAAAACCATTTATCGAACGCCATGAGAATTTGCAGGCTTTAAAAAATATAGTAGTCCCTTCCGACATCTATGAGTTGAAATTGAGTGAATGGGTTAAGAATCCATCTCTGATGCTACCACCATAGAACAAATAATTTTAAACATAAATTTAAAATAAAATTTAAAAAATATATTTTATGTATTATTATAGCGAAATACAGACTCGTACCGGCTCGTGAACGAAGTGTAGGGTAAAACATGCAGGAAGTCGATGGATGCAAGCTCCGGATTGTGCTTTTTGGCATTCCTCGGGGTAGGCTTATGACTATAAAGAAAGAAACATATTTTAAAACCCCAGCTAACGTGAAATCCCCATCCGTAACTAATAGTGCGTAATCTATTCATTTCCGTCCAATAAGTTTCCTCGTTTTTTTTTTTGTAAAAATTATATTTAATGTTAGTTCAATTTCCATTGACAAAACATTAGATTGCTTATCTTTTTCTAGGCCATACTTCTCGGCTGCTTACTTAGATGAGCTTGCAAGACTAGTTTATCCTCATCAGTGCGAAATATATCTATACTAAAACCAATACTAATGAGATATCTGTTTCTCGCGGGAAGAAGCTAGTAACAAAGTAAAGACATTTATGAACATGATGATATTACATGCGTATTTAGTATGGGCCAATATTTCAACAAATGTGTATCTGTGCTACTCGTATATTCTTGGAAAGGGTTATGACTACATGTGGATTTGAAAAAGTCGACGATTTTTCTTTAAAGTTAAGTATGGTACTTTATGGAGCAATCAGTATGTCCTGGTGCTTTTGTCCATTTCTGGTGCTTTTAGCTCATTTTTAAATTTAATGCAACATATAGTTAAATGTTCCTTAAAAGTAATGATCTTTTATGCTGTTTGATTTGGATAGCGATACAAAACGCGGGTGGCCATTTAACTGTATATACAAAGTAATGATAAATAAACATCGCTTAAAACTGAATGTTGTAAGAACAATTATGAAGATGTTTATAAGTTACCCTAGGAATTGCAATTTGAACATGGCATGACCGATAGTATCAACAGAGGTATAATTGGTGTGTAAAATAGAATTGATATTAATTGCGACAAGCTAACGACTAATATAACTTACTTGTTGCTTAAAATTTCCGTTAGTCATTAAGTAATTCCGTGTAGTTTTTATTTTATATCTTAATAATTTAAAATTAAAAACAACCGACTTCAATATAAATTATTAAGAATAACTCAAAAACTATTGGTCAGACCATTTATATATTTACAACATGGGACAACATGTGAAGCACCAGCTTTCAAAGAAAAAGAGAATCATCGAAATCGGTTCACCCAGTAAAAAGTTAAGAGGCAACACACATTAAAAAAAACATACAGTCGGATTGAGTACCGGCTCCTTTTTGAAGTCGGTAAAAAAGTACTTGGTTACCCAAGTACTTTTCTACCGAGTTAAAACGACCGTAAGTTCGATGTTAAGACACAAAAATAATAATATTATACTAAAACAAAGGCGTTCAATATATTACTTACTACTTGAGTGTAGAGAACCGGATACCCGTTTTATTGGAAAAGGGGCATTCCATCTTAGTCCTCACGGCTGACAACGTATCTGCATTTAGATTCGCAAACCAAGATAGATGTAGATGTCTATGGGCCACATCAGCCACTTACCATCTGTGGACTATGTGCTCGCTTATCACCCTTATTCTATAAAAAATACTTGCAATATTAGAGACATCATGCATAGAGAAATGTTTACATATAGTAAAGCAAAGACCTCAAGGACCACTTATCACTGCTAGGCGTCTCTCAGATTTTAGAGTAGTTTATTGAAATGGTATTTTGTTTATGGAACGTGTAGGTTTTCTTTATTATGAAAATGTGGGCCACAAACGAGAGTTATGCTTACTGGGTAAGTGACAACCGATAGCCATGAACCGCAACACAAGAAGAGTTGCAGGTATGTTGCCGGACTTTCACGAGTAGACTCATTTTTTGAACATGTCTAAGTTGTATCGGTCCGGAATACTATTTCCTCAATTTCTTCTTCATCAGCTCAGTAAATATTTGCTGCTGGAAGTGGACCTCTCCTTGTAGTGAGAAATTGCCATAATCACAATTTGCCACTATTGGCAGAGGGATCGGGGATGATAGTACCAGAGGTCTCACCCATTTGACGTTGCTTCCCGTTACATCTGATGTAAATGGGTTATGCTGCCATCGATTCAAAGTCTTAAGACCTCTCTGACATTGCTCCAAGTCGCATCTTATTGAGCCCACGGGATGAAATGAAAAAAACTGCTGTCGGCAGTAATTTCCACAATGTGGCACAACCGTGGCAGGAAATTCCTTCTTAACGTTATTTACGCCGAGTACATGTTGAAAGTATTATTTTCAATTACATTATTTCAATGGTCCTGCGGGGATAAAACTCTCATAAAAGGTTTATCACTCGTTATAAAGTGTGGCGTATGTTAGGTCGGCGCACTGACTTTGAGCTACCAGAGGTAAGTTATTATTATACTATCGTTAAAAGTAATGCAATAACATTTTCTAGAGGACAAAACTAATTGGTGCACAAATAACAATTATCTACTTTGGTGTTCTCACCTTATTTACAAATTCCTTGACTACAACAGCATAAACATAATTCACTATTTACGTGACGATTCACAAACAAAACAATTTTCTGAAGTCCTCGTTACCGGACAGTTATAATTGCGGACATTAATTTCCTTTTCATAAAAAATTAAAACCACAAGAAAGCAGTCCAAGAGAATTTTTATAAAAAAACTTGCAGAATATTTTTTTATGGGATAGGGTGACAAACGAGCACACAGTCCACCTGATGGTAAGTGGTTGGTGTGACCCATAGACATCTACATCTATTCTCAATAAAGAATCATAATGCAGATACATTGTCACCCGTTAGGAATAAGACGGAATGCCTCTTTACCAGTAAACGAAACACAGCAGTGTCAAGCTGCCATTTTACGCTGGTATTCTGTGAGAGCGTGGTCCTTCCCCGGTCGAGCCGACCCATTCGTGCTACAACTATACTACTAATATAGCTGTAGCATGGCTCTACACAATCCACTGCTAATACAGGCACAGGCCTAAGTCCAGCTGTGTACAATTTTATGGAAATTAAAACGAAACTGAAAAACCGTAATGCCGATTCTTTTTTCCACGATTTCAAATGCAATTGAAATGTTTAGGATGTTCTTTCTTTAGTCCAATTTTATTGGTGCTACCTTCTTACTTATTTCTACCGTAAAGCAACAGTACAGTAAGTCATCCAGTATAATAACAAGTTGTGAGGCATTTGTGATAAATATTATTTCCGTTTGCGTTAGGATGTGTTCCTTTTTTCACCTTGCGCTAATTTTGTCACGCAGCTACAGTTAGTCATAGACAATGGAATATTTTTTACATTTAGTTTTCCGTGCTTAGCAAAACAGAACACAATTTTAGCTTACTTCTTGGTTACTTTTTAGGGGTAAAATTTTTCATTGTTCATCGTTACACCATTTTTGTCGGTTATATATAATTCCTTACATATTGCGTTTTTAATTATCTAATATATTTTACCAAAATATATATATAATAGAATCGAATAGAATAGAATAATTTTTTATTCAATATTGATTACAAGTAATTCTTTTTAAAAGTAGTTTTTTACTTTACCACTGGCTTGAAAAAAAATCCTCTGTCTTAGGAAGAACTAACAAGAAACGCAGAAAATTATAATTGCGTTATTTTAGTTACAACAAACTCCAAAACACTTTTTTCTTGTCCACACCACCCTACAGAGGGGTCAGGATCGTGCCAAATGGAAGTCTAAAACTAGAGACTACTTCTGCCTACCCTTCGGGTGACAGTGTGACCGCCGTGAGAGTTTATTTTATGTTATGTTGTTAATATAATTATAGGCTTATGGCATAGAACACATATTGAAAAAGTATAGCCTGCATGTATTTGGATTTTCACCATAAAACGGACATTAGAGCCCCATTTGTTGTCCAACAGGATGATTATATTTATTATATTCTTTATAAAATATAATTACTATAAAATATTTGAAACAAAAACTTTCAATGACCTACAAAGTGATTGGCAACATCAAAGTCAAGTAAAATTCCTCAATTAGGTTAAGTGTTACCAAAGTGCTTGGATCCGCCGGTGACCGTGTTGTAACACTCTCCAAGAGGCTGCTTCCCTCTCATTAAGGTGTCAAATTTTGTCAAACATTCTTGGCATCCATTAAGGACACCGGAGGGGGCGGGGCGTTGTGAAGTTAACGGTGGCGGTGCACAAGAGATACAGATCTAAAGTTAAGCTACGTAGCATACGTTTTTTCTCAGTTATCTATAGCATTTTCGTTTAAAGATTGACATCTGGGGGAAACGAATTTTACGAATTTTATCGCATTTAATTTTAACTTAACTATATTTTAAATTTTTATGTCACCTTAAAAATAATTATTCAATGCATACTAATTAAGTTCTTACATTTTCCAACTAAATAAAATTATTGAAATCAGCTCAACCTATTATATTTAAAAAAAACAGTTAATTAAGGGTCCTATAATCTGTTGACATAATAATATTTTAAGATTTAAACAACAAATTATAGAACTTAT